GGTTGCTGTTGCTGAGACTGCTGCTGTTGGGGCTGCTGCTGCTCCTGCTCCTTCCGACGGTCGCGCTGGGTGTAGCACTGGGCGTTGGTGTGGAACAAGCGCGGATGTAGGTAGCAGTGGTCGTTGTCGGCTCCTCTCTCACCTCCGCCTTTCTTGTTTCCTCTCACCCTGCTCCTGCTCCGACTCCGGGCGCCTCCGTCTCCGTCCTGACCCCCGCCGTTTCCACTCGACCCATTTTGGACACGTCCATCGCCCCGGATGCCACCGGAAGCGACGAACGCGTGCCCCGCGCCATTCTTCGGTTCCCCCTCCCGACGGCGAACCGAGTCCGCATGAGCATCTCGCACAGCCTTTTCAATTGTCTCGCGCGAGGGGGGAATCGGTGACATGGTCAGAATCTTCTTCTCTACCGAGTACTCGTCGGAAAGGTGGTATACCATGTGGGCATTGGCATCATCGTCGGAGAAAACAACACCGTGCGAGGCGAGCCTACTGCGCAAAACAGCAAATCTCCCGAAGTACTCTTGCGGGGTCTCCCCTACTTTCATCTCAAGAGCGTGATATTGAGATGACAGCCTTTCTTTTTCGGCCCTGGCACGCGGCTCGTAATAATTGAGGAATATCTTCCAACCTCCACTAGGGCTCCCATCGGCGATGATCTGGGTTAGGATTGGCATGTATGTCACTGTCGTGATCAGCAGATTCCACGCCGTTATTGCCTTTTCTACCCGTCCACTCGAATGCACCCTACGCATCTCCTCCATGCTCACGCCTTCTTTCCCAACTGGAATTTTTTTTTCAGTCAGTACTACGTCACGCACTCCTTCCTGGGCAAACATAGCTACCATGTTCGATCGAAATATCAAAAACTTAGCCTGCTCATCCTCCCCTTGCTTGAAAACACCATCCCAAGGCGCTAGGCGCTTAGTCTCAGTCATTCGAACCGTCCCTGCGTTAATGGGTACTCTACCCATGTCCCCTGATGAGACGTGAAGTCGACCGGTGAGGGCGTCGGCGAGTGTGCGGGCGATTTCGTCGGTCGTCGGGTTGGCCGATGGCCGCCCCGCGTGTTGCTGGTGGCGATCCTCGTGCTCTCTTCCGGTCCGGACGTCATCTGTCCTCCGCTCCTCTGCTTCTTGCCTCGACATCTCGGCCAGTCTTGCTTCTACCCTCTGTTCGACCAAGTAGTTGATCCGGGCTTCCTCCTCTGCTAGTCGGGCGCTCACTCGATCTTGCTCGGTGTCGTTCATCGGTGGCTGCTGCTGATCGCCGCAAAGCGATACTCCAAACTAAGCTCGACTCGAATCTCGTAGACGACGTGTCATACGCTAGCGTGATCGATAATTCGGGTGGCTCAGTTGTGTGTGATGGGAGCGTAGAGCAGCTCGGCCATGACGGGCCGCACGGGTAGGTAAAGACGTGTAGACGTGGTGAAAAACGTGTTGTATTCATCGGGGGCGTGCTTGAGCTCGTCATTCCATCACGGCATCAAGTCACGCATAACGCTTTAATACCCAGAACGAATCTCCATGAATCTCCACCAATCTACTACACTCCCAAGGAAAACACAAAGAAACTTCTTGTCCCTCCGTAGTTCGTCACTGCAATCCCCGCATATGTATACGCAATATACCACCCCCATGCTATGCTACGAGTATATCGAATAGACAGTACGAGGTGATAACAGTCACACAATAAGACTTTCGATATATACGATGACACGGTAAAACACACACAGCCATAACAGGGCGTGGGGGGGGGAAGGGCGGGAAGAGCCTGGGGCCGGCAACATAGTGTCCACCAGCAGCTGAAGCCTTTCTCCCATCCAATTCATCCCCCTCCTCCCTCCGGTCTCCACGCTATGGTAGCGCGGCATCCTTCCGTTCCTCCACAGGTGCGCCTACCGCGTCAGGAAACAGGCTAAGCACCTACCCAAGCAGTATCAACCTAGGTTTTGTCGCATCCGTGCTAACCTAGCACTTAAGTCTTAGCAAAGCAAGCTAAATAGAAATTCTCCCATCAACCCCAAACCTTGCGCCAACTCCAGCCCATCCACCTACTACTGTAGAAGTTATGCACCCAGAGCCAACCTACAGCAGTAGCACTTATCGGTCCACCGGTAGAGTAACTGCCTAAATTAGATAGTTGTAGCCCTTTCCTACACGATACGGTTGGTTTGAGGTAGATTGGAGGTCTGTGGGAGAAGATATGTCTGGTGGAGGTACGAAGTTTCTCCACTATAATAGTGGAGCAAATAGCATTGCCATGTCAAGTTTCATTCCAGGCTCTGCTACAACCTTCCTCCGAGTTCGCCAGCTTCAATGCATGTTCATCCTTTTAAGCGTCACGCTGTTGATCTAGGTAACCCAGAAGGCCTATGTAGATACTAGTCCATGCCCCCAGTGCAGGGAGGACACAGCAAGAAGGCATTTTCAACCTATGGCAGCTCATTGAAAGTATTTGCTTTTTTTTGCCTGAAGCATATGTACAGGCAAGGCTTATGGGACACAACGCAATTCTCTTGGAAAAAAAATATAAAACACTCAACAGAGTCGAAAAGAACGGGGTGACGGTGGTCACACGACTGTACGCCTCGTGCAGTCAACCGAGAAGACGGGAATGTGAAAAGAGGGAATCGTCCTCGACAGACGTTGGGGAGTTTCTGAAGGTGGTCTCCACATTACCCCCCCCTTTTTTCGAGACTTTTTCTTGTTTTCCAGGCAAGAGAAGTCTTCTTGGGGTAACCGGAACCCGACCGGCTGGCGGCGGGGCGATTCACATTCCTCACAATCCTCTGTACGTGTTTTACGGATTCGCTACGTCCGCCACGTTTACAGAAGTTCCGAGTTCGATAGCCAGTGCGTCCTCCCTTGGCCCACCCACCGTTTTTCTTTTTCCGTTTTCCGGAAGAAAATTTGGTTACCAGCGGGTTTTGAACCCGTGTCTTTTGCACCCAAAAGCAGACACTGCTGTGACATCTCGCGTCGACGACATTGTGAAAAGAGGGAATCGTCCTCGACAGACGTTGGGGAGTTTCTGAAGGTGGTCTCCACAGGAAACGGCAATGAATTGTGAATGAGCGAGCGCGGAAGATTCACTTGAACATGACTCGATGTGGAGTGAATCTTGTGGCAGATGTCACCGGCGTGTCATCAGGGCCGTTGTGCACAACGCACCCAAACTTTTCACTTAGTGCGTGCTACGATATGGACTGACCTAAGCAATACCGTCGTGCGTGCGAGTCGAAGAACATGACACAGCCGGCTGGCTGAAGCTGATCTACGCGTCGGTATACAGCTGCTTCAACGTCTCGGCCACTTGTCAACCAATACCCCTAGATTACATATCCAACACAAGAACCTGGTCGTCATGAGCACGACGAGCACAAGATCTTATGCATCCAGTGCTCTCTTTCAATCTCACTCCACAGCCAGCCAGACCCGAATGCTTGCTGCATGATTACCTTTATCTACAGCCTTCACCGCCATGAAGCCGTTGTCGCGGCGAGTGCCCGGAAAACAAGTTGAACCAGCGCCGAATGATGGTTTCCAATTTGTGTGAGGGATTGGACTTCGCGGCTTCATTACCGTCGAAGACCCCAGAAAGCGAGAGTGAGGGAGCTCAGACTGGCAATGACGGGTGAATGAAGGGGGTGTGTGTGTGTGTGACGATGTCAAGGAGAGGACGGCCATGGAGGCGGACGGCCGCTCCAGTTACGAAGATGATCACTTTCACCACATTTTTTGTGGTCCCTGCTTCGTCGCTGTGTGTTTGGTCCACGACTCTACCTGGTATCGACTTACTTAGCAAACCACGGCCACATTTCGTGGCGTTGTCCTTCTGCACGCAGACGTGTCGCATGTCCAGAACGATAAGGCAGAGGTCTGCTGGACGAAGACGACAGCATGGATGCATTCGGTGCGATGCACAGCACGGAGGCCCCGGTTGGTTTTCGCGTTGTCGTGTCTACGCCCGCTGCTCGTGCTCGTTCGATATTCCAGTGTGGATTAGTCAGCACGTAGGCTGGGCTTGCACGGGGTGGTTTTGTGAGGTATTGACCCGGCAGTCTCAACAACGTACCCGCCACCGGTAGGAATCTGTGTCCGCCTCGAGCAAGACGGGCATATACGCGCAGTACGAAGATACCGCTAGAAAAAATGTCTGTGTGAGGGATTAGACCCAGATGCGACGGTAGCCTCGTGGGCATTGCTTCAGAAGTAAATCGCCGTAGGGTGTGCTACCGTCAGAGCTGTAGCGGACGTGGGCACAAACGCCCAAAGTCACCATTGCGGAACAAGAAGAGGAGTGTTGCTCCGTTTTCATTGCCTGTGACTGGAGGAGATGACTGCATATGACTGTCCGCGACGGTAAAGTCGTGCCGGCACCGTAAGCCACCTGCTGCCTGCACTTGGGGTCACAACTTGCGTTCCGTTGAGTTCTATGACACTTCCGATGCCATTTCGGATACAAGTACTACTATTATATGAGTTCTGGAACACTTTTCTAATACCCCACCCAAGACTTGAAACCCCTACAGATCACACCCAACCCTTTTGTGAGGGGGAAACACAGCCACTTGAGACACTTTCTCGTTGGGACTTGGGACTTGGACCCGAACAAACGACGGGACAGACCCATTTCCTGACATCCTTCACGACTAATCTTGGTGCAGACACTATTTGTGACGTGAAATGCCAAAGATCATCGCGCGGAGAGGAGAAACTTGACTTTTCACCCATTCCCACAGGCGACCATGAAACCGAAATTCTCAGAGGGTGGTTTCGGGGTACATGCGCCATCTCACACCATATACTTCGCACATCATGTACAAGTTTCGGCGAATAGTGAATACTGCATTGTTGCTCGTACGACCCTGACTCAATATGTGTAGCGCTACTCTTGCTCCTTCGTCCGGCAAACTTCATCACGCCCGCGACACCGCATTACGTCTCGCGGCCCCATCTACAAGAAGAGCACACCATTTGTCATCAGGCCAGCGCCTAGCTCTCGCGGAAGTCCGGTTCTCCGCTCTCTGGATCTCCTGTAGATTCCCACTTCTCGTTGAGAAGCGAAACCGTCATAGCAAGGTGATCTTGCGGCACCCCTTTCAAGACCGTGATGAGCTCTTCGGCTACGACCTCTCTCCCCTGAACAAGGAATCCCAGCGGCGGCAGCGGCGGCAGCAGCAGCAGCAGCAGCAGCAGCAGCAGCAGCAGCACCAGTTATCGAGGCCGGAGCATGCTTTATTGGGAACTTGCCGAAGTAGCGATAGGGATGTCGCCCGCAAAATACCCCAGTACTCCCGATACGAACTGAGACGAGTCGAAACGACCGAGAAAGGAATAAACACCACTAGCACATACTCTCCGTCTTCTACGAAACGGTAAAGGCCGAGTCATGCGTTTGAAACAACTGCCTTGACGAAGTGTGGGCGGGTGATGTGTGACAGGGCGAAGGGAAATTACACTCACTTCAGTCCGCCACACAACAACAACAACAACAACAATCACGCACCAGCTTGCCCTTGTCACCTTGGTACTAAGGTTAAGCCAATCACGGACCTGCATGATCTCCTGGGCCACCTTAAGCGGCTCGACGACTTTTGGTCGATCACGGAGCGGGTCCTTGATGAGCACCATCGGCCCCGCGAACAGAGACTCAAGGAGGGCGTTCCCCCTGCCCGAGCAAATCCATCAAGTACAACGGTAACCATCAGCAACGGTGGTGGGTGTCAGAGAAGAGGGCGTATCGTACATGGGTGGTACGTTGTAGGCTACATCGGCAGAATATTGACATGTCATGCCGGCTCTCCTTCTGCTGTGAGATCACCAAACATCCACATAGGGCGAAATGCTAAGATCTTGCTGAGTAGAGAGCGGGTGGCAACAAAGCGTGGAACTCAGCACTTGACGGGACCTTCTGAACGTTGTCCTGCCCATCAAGATTATTTACCTATTTAGTCGTGCGATACGCTAGGTTACTTGCTCCTTCTCGAAACCGTTTCCAGAAATCTATTGAGGCAGCCGAGGCGGGGTCAATGTCGGCACCTTGGATTACTACTTACAAAATAGGCGCGCTACTGGTCTGCGGGGGAGAGAGGGTGGCATACTCCTCAGTTGAACGTGCATCGCACTGCAGAACCACCCTGTACCATATAAGACCCAAACTTAACCCAACGGGGCAGGGGGCATCACCTCTGCTCCAGCTCGCGGCTCGAGAAACGATCCAACCAGTCCAACGTGACCATATCCCCTCGTATTCGCAACTCCGCCTTGACGCGCCTCATACTCGCCGCCGTCACGAGCTATACATTGCGATTTCGCGGAACAACACAGCGGCGTTGATGCTGTTGGCGGTACAATAGTACAAGGATCCAATAGGCATCAGAGTCGGGACATACAAGGGGGGACTAGCAGGGGACACGATTCAACCGGCATCGTGGGACAATGCGGTGTTCGCCTGCCCGACGTGAAGGCATCAGAGCGGGGGAAGCAGAGCACAGTATCCCGAGCACATTGAACAAGACCTACGATCGAAGCGCGCCTTCCACTTACGACACAGAGGGATGCGTGTACTCGGTATGGTTGAGAGGTTTCCAGAAAACAAAACGGGTTTCTTCCGCCTCTCAGCTCCAGGCAACATCACGGCCGATGACGAGAGCGAAACGAGGCACCATCGACAAGGACACTCGGGCGCGAGAGACAAAGCTTTCCAAATGGGTGCCAGTACGGCCGCCCCAACACAAACCATCATCGATATCCAAGGCACGCCTCTGGAGTGGGTTCATCAGAACATAGCAGTGGTGCCATCAACGCGTTGTGCGAGATGAAAGCAAAGCACGTGTTGGTGTGAATCAACTGTCATCAGTGACGTTTGCCAAGCTCGAACAGCCCACACCGCTGACGTGTTCTTGTCTCGAAGAGCCCAGCGAGCCTCGATGAACCAAACACAAATCTACAGACCATACAGTCTTACACTAACCCTTCCTGAGCTACCAACCCTGCGACCAGTTTGAGCGTCCCAACACGCGTTCATACCCAATGAATACATGCCGGAATAAAAAAAAGTCACCTCTAAAGCGTCCTTATATGTAGAGCGTCGTCGCGGTGGGTTGCCGGTACCGGAAGAGGGATCCACGTCGGTCATCGGTTTTAAACTTGAGAGACGCAATGCTTGGGCTCGATCCGGCCCAAGCTCGGACTGTAGGCAGCACGACGGGGGGGCGGAGTTGCTTCGGTTCGACATGAAAAAAAGGGTGTCGGCCTCAATCCACAGCATCAACAATAGGCTACGGCTGAAGAAAGGTTTGGCTATGCTGCTTAAGACAGTCGTAGGGTGCCACGTTGGTTTGGAGGTGTGTGTTGCGAGCATAATGTTGTTGGGGCTTTCACTCGTGCAACTGCTGCTTCGCAAAAAAGCCATGGGCAAAAGCTATGGACACAGCGTATCCCCTACGATCAGCCTACGAAACCGCTCGTCCCCTCTTCCAAGTGCGTCGATACCGTGATGGTCTTTCTAGTTTCCGGTTCAGTCACGCTCCTGTCTTGGTCAATGCGCTGATGCTGGGGAGGGGTCACGGGTGTTGTTGACACGCCACTGATCTTGCCGTTCATCCACTCGTTGTTTAGATTGCTTTTGTGACTGTACAATGTGACAATGCTTGAGTAGAGCACCCGTTCTGGCCTCTGTGTATTGGCCGACCCGGCGGGGCAAGATACGGCTTCCGCGGTCGCAGGCTTAGGCTAACCAGCAAGCCTCAGGACGAATCGGTGAAGGACAGGATCTGCTGCCAAGGCATCAAACGAAGTCATCCCTCATGACCGGCGACTGGCAACTAAAACTCCGAACACGAGAAATATCTTCGTGTGGTACCCCTGCCGGCAGAGCCTCGCGGTCTAAGCACACATATCAGCTGTACGCCAGAGCCGAGCCGCTAGGCCAGAAAAACGAACAAGAACGCTCGCCTCGTAGTGGTAGTCTGCCTGCAGCCGAGCATTCTCCGCAGAGATCTGCTGCAGGTCAGAGCCGAGCTGCTCCGCCACCTGCTCCCGGATCTCCATGAGGCGGCGCGCGATGGTTGTTGGCTCAATAGTCTCGTTGTACTCCACAGGCTTCCTGACGCGGAGGAAAACATGCGATGTACGCCGTGCGCACCTCACGATAAATATCAGCCCCCCCCCTCAGCGATTACCTCGGCGTTCGAAATAATTTCTCCGCTAGGTTGGCATACCAAGGGTGTGTGATCCATGCCGTATCCGGTGTGACAGAACATGGTCAGCGTTGGGACTGGAATTTGGGATCAACAGGATCAACGGGTGTCATACACACGTGAGGGGCGTGCTGCGGTAAGCAAGCAAGACGCACGACAGGGGCCCCAGTCATGGCGAGGGTTTGATGACCAAAACTTAAAGGAAGCTCGATTTGTCCGAAAAATATCGGTTGTTGTGCGGACGAGAGCGGTCGGGCGATGGAGAAAACGACGCGCAAGCGGCTTGCAGCATTATGTCCTCCCAACATAGGCAGAACTCATTTACGTCAAGTGTGGCATCTGACGGAATCCCCCGCTCAAACGACGTCTGCAACGCAGAACGTTTGTACACCACCAACCTGCATACAATCTGAATGAACCCATGATTTTTCGGCACGTGCTCCAGGAAGCACCATGCTTCTGTGAGCGAAAACAACAGTACAGTTCGGACGACATCGAGACATCAGAAGCATCGAGTCCAGCTCCGTGAAAACTAGTTCGATATCGCCGCAAGCTGCTGCCGTATGAACAAAGTGGTCCTGGTAACACCACCCTGTGAAACACACCCCACACACTCCACCTGTCAGCCAGGAAAGGGTTGTTGCCTGAGCCCCCCCTAGGGCTCTTGATGAGCTTCTTGACCACTACATCCTCGGGAGGTGCTCGCAGCATACCGGCGAAGAAGGCATGCCAGCCGACGTCCTCAACACCCCCCCGCTCCTCGATATACCTGTTAAGCCACTCGATGTACATGTTTCCTGCACGTCATGGTGGTAGTAGTACATAGCGGCGAATGGAGGCAGGTTACAGAGAACAAGAACGATGAATCTGAAGGTGGGGTTGTGCAATGGTGGAATCTCGTCGGTGTTGCAGAGATATATGGAACGGGGGCGAGAGAGAGGGTGAGGAGGCGGGGGGGAGAGACTGGGGTGGGAATGAAGGAGGGAGCGCAGAGAGAGAGAGAGAGAGAGAGAGAGAGAGAGACGGGCAGAGACAGAGACAGACAGACAGAGAGTGAAGGGTACGGCCCCGTCATAGCACCAGTTTCAAGCAAGGTTATTCAACTCAACGGGGTATTCCTGATGGCCTGCCGTGAGCATTTACCCGATTAAATCTAACCAGTCCTGACGCCGCTTGCAAGACACCTAGATATGGACCCGGTGACCCTCATTGCTACAATACAAAAAGGTCGTAGCACACGGGTGATGTGCTGTTTCATTGCGTCGGTCGAATTGCACCGAAACGGAAAACGCGCAGGAGAGAAACGGCTCCTGCTCTTTGTGCCATTCCCAACTCTTTTGGTGCCGAAAGTACGGCCATGTCGTCGTGCCGCTCAAGCATCTGCATGTAGACTTGTATTGCTGCAATGTCACTAGCAGCTCTACACGGAACAAGATCTCGGCAGCGGACCGACCTCTGAGCTCCATCCAGTACGTATTTGCCGTCAGCAAAGCGTTGTGCGTGATGAGGTCCAGCAACCGCTTCGCGTAGAACTCCGCCTGCACGCGCAAGCGAAGAAACAAGGTCCAGGGCCAGAGAAACGGGGTGTGAGATGCAGTCGTTGGACCGACGTTTGATCTCCTGGGAACGCACACGGTGCCCACGTACTCTTTGTGATCGCATTCTTCTCGTGGCTACGACAATCGGTTGCTGCCTCCTTCTTCAGATACGGATTAATTTTTGATGTTGTCATCCCAGTTATCTAGAAATTGGATCTCACACATTTCGATATGTACTCCCCAAACCTGAAAAATAATAAATAAAAATAAACACACCCATATCACAATATATATTTATCATGTCGTAGGGGTTATGTTGGTGCTACAAGCAGGTGTACAGCAACAGCATTGAGTTGCAGCGCTTAGCCTTCGTGGGGTGTATCGTATAAATTCCTGAAATGTCTAGAAATCGGTCCTCACACATTTAAAAAACTAAATTCCTGGACGAACTAACCGGGATCAGTCACAGGAGGAAGGCCCACACAGGAATATCATAATCTTAGTATGACACGACGCATCCATATCTACCTGTTGAAAAGAGTCTCAGATATAATAACAATGAATCCATAGCGTCAGCGGAAGCTACCTGTATTTCCACGAATTCCCGAGCAGCATACAGCGATATCTGCCCTGTTGGTCACAGGCTCAAATAGAAAGTTCGGTAGCCATCTTGTGTGTCTATCTGTATGCTATGCACCACCTCCCGATTCTTGGGTTCGTGTGTACGGGGATGTGTTGTTTCAGCTTTCGTGCGGTATACTGGCTACTGGCATACAGGTACGCATCTTGTATCTTGCTCTGCTGCACTCCACACCTTTGGCGCCTTAGTGGCCACGTCACCTCCCGGGGTAGCGATTCCGCCGCATCTGTGTTTCTTGCCTCGATAAAGTGATAAAGTGATAAAGTTCAACGGCAAAGCTCCGGTTACCCCACAGCCTTCCTTGAGTCCTCCTAGTAGGGTGTTGCATAGAGGTGCTATTTTCAACGCTAAACGAAGCACTGAAGCCCTACGGATAGCGGGCAATCACGTGCTATCTATGACGGGAGTGCTACGACTGCTGTACAGTAGATAGGTTTGTTCTTCAAGATCATGTGTCGTTGCAGTTCTCATCGTTCTGAAAGACATGCACAGCCGGACAGACCCTAACACGGAGCGGCGAATGCCGAACCGCTAAGCACTCTACCCCTACCTCTGCGTCGTTCTTGTAAGATTGGTTCATGTGGAGTGGCGACCCTCTTCCCGGGCGGATCGTGCCGGTCACAGCAGCGTCTTCCCGGTACCAAGTTCGGCACGAAATCACGCTCCCTATCGCGTTGATTCCCAAAGAAAACGCCCTTGCTCTCGCGAGAGCGTTGAGGAGCGCCAAGAGCAGCAGCCAGCACGGGCTTGTGATAGACGAAGGCATCGCTTCGACCGCGGCGTGTGCGACAGAGAGACAATCTCTCGCTCTCCCCTGGGGCCTGTGTCTCGTGCTGACCTTGCCGTGTGTCTGTAGCAGTCTGCAGCTGCACTCAACATCTTACCGAGGGGGCGACGCGGATGGAACACTTTTCAAAGTTCCTTCAAAAACACCAATAACCAGAAACGGCTATACCCGCGGGTACTTTATCACCACTTTAGGGTAAACTTAGAAATCAACACGCTTGCACCCCCAGGCTGTCAGCTGATTGGCCGAAAAACCACCGTACACCCATTTCGGAAGAAATCTCCATTGGGTACAACTACCGCTGGCATTAGGACCCTCTGGTGTGACCGATATTGGTTACTGGTGTACCCGGAAGAGGTCGATGTTGTACCCAGAAATGGTCAAATAATTTCGGCGCCCGACGCTCTAGCATAAAACCCGTAGAAAAAACCGTGTACCGCACATACCGTGTACCGCACATACATACCCACACCAACAACGCTCGCTCGTTGATGGGCCCCGCCTCCATAGGATACCGGCCCCTCTCGACAGAGGGTCGGACTCGCTTGACGCGCGAGTTCGTTCGTTGTGGTGCTGATCAGTAAAAGCACAGAGAGAGAGAGAGGCACAGAGAAAGAGAAAAACGGGCACGACCTGCCTCGTGCATCATGCTTCCGAGGCACAGGACACGACAGCGGTTTATTGGTTTCGCCGCGACCTACGGCGGATGCTGTCGGAGATTGGTGTCGTGGTGATTTCCAAGTATACCCTGAAATGGTGATAATCCACCCGGGTACCCTTTTCTGGTTACTTCTCCTTCAATTGTGATAGCAACTCGACGAGTATCGTCGCGTTGCCTGTCTGAAGCTTTCCAATTTTTTAGCGGTTAATGGGTTCGAGGGCGCACACCGCGACACGGTCGCCCACCGAGCACGACAAAGAGTTCTGTACACAGAGTAGATGACATAATAAGATGTCACACCCCCTGAACATTTTGTTTTAATTTTCAAAGCTCGATTACTCCACAGCAGAAAGCGTGGCGTGGCCGGGCGGCGTTGGCACCACCGATAGATAGGTTTAACTTTCCGAATAAACCTATTGTTTGGCATCCTCGTCGTCGTGGACTAACATTATTCGCTGTGAATATCGATGATGCGATATATTATGTCACCTACTGCCGGTACATGCCATGCATAAGAACAGGGAGCACCCTCCATACTCCATTAAGTTTTTGTATTTATTTGTAGTAGTTGGATTGAAACCTCTCATTATACCCATCCATGAAGAAGTCGTTTTATACGCTAATACTTCATAAGTGCTGCAAAAACTATCCATATGGACGAACCCAGCAGTTCCGTTGTTGTTGTCTTCACAATCGATTACAATCCCGTTCGTTCTCTCTACCCAGTACGTTCTTCGTCTACTATGTATGATAGTCTGACACTTGACGCGGTCGATCCACGCTGTGGTCACAGGCTAACTTACCCAAAAAAGTTACACGAAAATAAAATTGACCCTAAAGAAGGGTCCGCAAGTCAACGACGGTTTAGTCTAGGACCCCCCGCTCGCTTCAATACGCTATGGGAGGTAGTAGCCATAGCCTAGACAATAAAGAAACAAAAGCAAAATAATAATAGAGGCGATCTCGTGCGCACCCGAAAAAACCGTCAGTCTTCGACCGGCACTTCTCACTACGCCCATCCATGCGCATGCACTTTTTGGTGCCGCGGGACTCCTCCATGCTTTCAAGAAGAATCAATGCCGCCAATCATCTCGTTGGTCTTTTTCTGTCGTTTACATACATACATGTAGTCGCACGTCACACCCGAATGAAAAGGAGACCACACCACCAGAACGCGCTCTCCGCACGCTGGGAAAGAATCCGGGACTTCCTTACTTACTAACTTGTCTTCACTTCAAATCAGCGCTCACAGCACCAGTGCCGTTTACTCCAACCCGTGGTAACCCAGAAGAGCCCCACCCTCCTGCGGCTTCGCCTTCGATTTTTAATGCGAGAAGAGTTCAGCACTCTCTTCCCTCTGTGTACACACGAAACAGCGCTATCCACTAGGCCAGGAGCGGAAGCGATAGAAAAAGTCACTTTCTTTGCAAGAAAAGCTCGTTTACGCCGGGAACCCCTGACCTGACCTCTAGAAGGTTTCAAGGGGAGACCACCGGGGCGACCGGCAGACGATATGAATGCGGACCCCAGAAGATGCGCTTTTCACAGTAGGTTTCCTCTCCGAAACGAAAGAAACGGACGGCAGAGAGGGAAAAAAGAAAAAAGGCAGCTAGCTACCAATGTTTTGATGAGCCTGTTACCCGCAGGGTAGATGTCCCTATATGCTGTCTGGGAAATCGTAGACATACAGGTACAGGTGCTATGAATCCATTGCTAATCTGTCTCTGTCTCTGACTCTTTTCTATGATAGAGATTGATTCGTTGTGTCATATTGAGAGAAATGAAAAATTGAAGAGACGAAGTACGCGTTCCCCGCCATGGACATTTAGTAAGAGTCGCATTGTGGTAGTGGCAAGGAACCTCTCTCTGCGATCAGGTCAGAAGGCCAACAGTCCCCAGGGCTCTTCTGTTGCACCCACCCATGGACGGGCGCAGCAGTAGTAGCGCATGTCCTGTAGTAGACAACTACTGCTGAGAATATTGGGGACCACGAATCAAACCGACAGGTGGTTCGTGGGTGGGCGGGGGACCCTAAGAAACAGCCAGACTCAGCCAGTTTACATCCTCACAGTTTCTTGCAAGCAAGACCGAAGGGCGATGAAAAATGAGAGACCGCCAGCGACAGGAAACAAAGAAGTAGAGGAGAGCAGAGCTAAGAAACAAGTGAAGAAACAAGGTCCCCTTGCCGCTCTGACCCACCGGAAGCTTTCCATGTACCGCAGCAAACAGCAGGGGCAGCACCCACTACCTCGCAACATGCAGTACCCGGGTACTACACGGACTGGTACGTATTGTAGTAGAAGTTTAGTATCTCTCTCCGGTAAGAACAATAAGAAATCGTAGACATACAGGTACTTTCTGACGCTATGAATTAATTGCTAATCTGTCTGAGACTCTTTTTCTATGATAGAGATGGATTCGTTGTGTCATCTTAAGAAAACTAACTCCTCGTAAAGAATATTATGCTGCCGTAGACCCATCCCTCAAGCTCAACCACAGCTATACCCGATACATGGTAGCATCATATCCAGCTGTAGAAGAATCGAAAAAAAAACTGTTTTCTTGGTGGCGAAGCGGACCCTCTTTATTGTGACTCTCCAACTGCTTGCTGTTCGTGGATGGCCACATGACGACACAGACAGACAAAATCTAGGGTTTGACGTCGGTCTTATTCGCCGCAGGAGGTTGAAGCTATACTCAAAGTCGGGGAGGGGTCGTGATTTTGCAATTCCCTACGGAACCGTACTTGAGGCGCCATGAAATTTGCACTGCAGTTGTTGTTGTTGTTGTTGTTGTTGTTGTTGTTGTTGTTGTTGTTGTTGTTGTCTTCACATTAAAAACCGTTCCGATCTCTCTCTACCCAGTACCTTCGTATGTCCGTACTAATCCAACACTCGACCCGGTCGATTCCCGTGGTCACAGGTTAACTTACCCTAAAAAGGTACACTAAAAAAAACTGGCCCCGAGGGGTCCGCAAGTCAATAGAAATCAACGACAGATATTCTGGAATCCTCCACTCCCTCTTCGCGCTATGCGAGGTTTCAACTGAGACTAGCAGTCACTATCTATCATGGGCCGGAGAGAAAGAGGTACACCCCCCTGGTTCAATCTTGGTAGAGCCGAGGTTGTTAGTCGGCAGGGAAACGCAAAAAACAAAATTCATGGGTGGGTTGGGTCAGTGGGGGACCCCGAAACAATGAAACAGTCGCGGTTCGCGTTGTTCTGGGGCCCTACCGGCGAAAAATATCGTCGCCGCTCTGAACCGCTGGAAGCTGTCACACAGCAGCACTGCATGTGCGGCGAACCGTAGGGGCCATGCGCATTGCTTGACGGAAAGAGGCGGCGCCCATTGCCTCACATGCAGCAACCGGGTACACGGGTAGCCTCCTACTCACAGCAAGATGCAAAACGATTGCCGTTGACGTTCGATGTTATTGGAACCCTAACGGCAAAAATGCAACAGAGAGAGAGAGAGGTAGACTAAAGGAAGGGAGACTCGAGAAGACAAGGCATGAACTCTAGAGAAAACACCCACTCTCATCCCTCTGGCCCACCGCAGGCTTGAACACGTGTAACGAACGGCGACATCCGATGTGCGATCAGCAACAACAAACATGACAGAAGAAAAATAGTCGTCGTTTCCGAACTGCTGTGGAGATACTGCCTGTAAGTTGGTTGAGACTTTCTTTCTTTTCATCTGGTATGAAGTGGCAACAAAGAAGCAATGCGCTTGCTGTCGCGATAGATGCGCACCGCTACCGCTATACGAACGAGCAGACTGTTGTCAAACCTGACTACGATAACCGTACGACCATTGCAGCACATTCCGAGCATAACAGCAGCAACCGCAGCAGCAGCCGCATGTGTACAATGGTCACTCAAGAACAAACAAACGCAAAAAACAAATAAAAAAAGATTGTGGCGCGCAGCACGCAGGACCCTCTTTCGCTGTTCAACCGGCCATTCCCATGGCGAAACAGGGCAAGGAACAGTCAAGGTCGACTCTTGCCGGCCACAGGAGGCGGAAGCTGCTCAAACTCGGGGACGGCTCATGGTTTGCGATTCCACACCGAACCATACTCGAGGCGCCACGAGATTTACACTGTAGCTCGAGATCGGCAGTAGTTGAGACAGGGTCCGGCAGGGGTGGGCTACATGTATGCGAATAAAAGTTCCACGGATATTGAAAGATGAGACTGAAGCTAAAGCTTCAGAAATATTGAAAGATGAGACTGAAGCTACAAAAGCTTCAGAAATATTGAAAGATGAGACTGAAGCTAAAGCTTCAGAATAACATGAGCAACACCAACTCGATACGGCAGCTCCCCAGTTTCTCGGTACACGTGCACTGAGTGACTTCACACGAAATCAATACCGAGCTGGGATGAGCGTCCGCTGGCACAACCACCCCCGAAAAAGGCCCCATACAGCGACAGGAGTAACAGAAATTCATGCCGCAACCTTTCCATAGGAGCACAGCAGGAGAATCAACAAGCCGAGGAGGACTGACGTCTGTGCGCCCACACCGAGAAATGAATCCACCACCAGATTCACCAGCAGCAGAATTATGAGGCATTGCACCGGTCCTTCTCGCCGCCTAAAGGCAGGAGGGTCGAAAAAAACGGAGGGAGGTTCAAGTCCATCCATGCTCCTGCCGTTCAAAGCCTCCCAAGCCAGCAACGCCAGCAGCAGCACCAGCAGTACTCTACGCGTTACTCTCTGTTGCCGTAACAGGAGCACTAGGGTCCAGCTCCCCAGTCCTCTCCGCCTCCATCACCTCCTTGAGGTCCTTCAGGCAGAGCTGGTACCGACCGGCCAAGGGAAGGAGGCGGGATTGATCGGCGGGGGACGAGTCCAATCGCACCCTTTTCTTATCGATGCCCGAGCGCATGTTGAGGAACTGCTTCACCTGTCCCTTCTTGGTGATGGTGACGGCAGTGCCCCGAGATCCCGCCCGCGCTGTGCGTCCCACTCTGCCACCAGGCAAACGTGGGCGAAACGCGCAAGCGGTAGTAGATTGGTGTATTGGTGCGATTTTCCCCACAAACCATTGCGCGAGCTTACCGGCTGATCAAGAGAAAGTACGTCAGCCCAAGGGTACATGCGAAAAAAAATATTCAAGACACGTGAAACTGTTGGAAACTCCGTGGCTTCTGGCGGAAATATGTTGTATTGTTGAGACCTTGGCTTGAGAGACAGGTCAGCAAAGTGGAGTAGGCTAGGTGTGCGCGTGCACAAACACCACAGCGGCATCACGCCAAGTCATCCACCCGATCACGCAAAACACGGAACTCGGGCCAACGTACAATCCGACATACCGAGAACACGCTCGGGTCAATGCACCATCCACGAAGAACATTCCAGGAACATTCCTACAGAACGACAGTCCAGATATTTGAACTGTTCTACGTTACTCTGTCGACACACAGCAGCAACTATCACGAACATAAACCTACTTTTGATCGATATCTGAGCCCGCTTGGGGGGGAGTTTTAATTATATAAAATTGCGCAAGGGGCACCGTTGATGGAAACCCCTTCTGCAGCAGGGGGGGGCAATGACATATTTTTGTGAACGAAACCCCCTACACTACATTCCCATGTAAAACAGAAATCAAAATTGCCCTCGGGAGGGGGGGGGGGGGGCTGTGTGTCCGGAATTGTTTTCGTGTGTACCCTTAGCCAGCCTTGTATCGGGATACAACAAATCGCTGACACGTGCTGGATTTCGCGGACTAGCCTGAAAACGGGAGCCCACGGGGCACGCAGGTAAAAAAAACGGAAGGAAATTTCCCAAATTGGATTCAGGACCAAATCCAGATAACGGGTGGGGGGGATGGGGGGTCCACTGCATATGATATGGACAAATACCATTACTAGCATGAGATATAAGTACACAGATACATACATCTACACTTCGTGAATACATCTACGGCTTTTAGATGATACTAATGCCTGGTATACAATAGAAGATATAGGTCAAAGCACGACAACACTAAATCTCATACGCTACATCCTGAAAACAAAATGGAGGAAGAGCGCATAAAACACGGGCGAAGGGGTAGCCGCGCCCGCAGCATCTTGATTTCGTGAGCCCCCTCTTTGGGGGGAGGACGTGGAGGAGGCTGGGCAGATCTGTCCAGCCTCTTCAGAGTACTTAAAGGATGGCGACGGTACAACACCATCACCGCACAATATGTTCAGTTGGGGGCCCTCGATAGGTCAAGCATGTGCGTTCACCCGCACAATAGCGGGCACCCGTGCGATTTCGTCTGTGCCAGCCAATTTCACCACTTACCGGTGCACGTAAGTCTTTGCCTGAGAAGGCACGTCGTAGTTCACCACCAGCCCCACGCCGTCCAGGTCCATGCCGCGAGCCATCCCGTCTGAGCACACGATCACGCGCACCGCGCCCGCGCGGGCGCGGCGGATGATGCTGGACCGCTGCCTCTGCCCGAGGCTGCTCGAAAACTCGGCCACGCCCCCGTCGCCGTCATCGTTGCCGTCGCCGTGTATGGCGTCGTCGGGGAGGTGGGTGTCACCGTCCCCGCCACCGCCTTCGGCGTCTGTTCCCGCCGTTCTCTCGAACCCTGCGCAAAAAACGATGCGCACGGACAGGGGTTGCGACGGATGCGATCACGGTGCGGGATGAATCCGGTGGTCGAGGATGCAAACGGCGGAGGGACAACAAGTTGCCTTACCTCGAACCAGCGAATGCACAGCGCCTATTCGTGGTACCTGAAGTGAACATGAAAGGCGCAAAGATCCCTGGTGCATGCTTAAGCGTTGTGAAAAATACCACAAGTGTTTGAAGTCAAAATTGACGACTGCACACCACCAACACCTGCAGGAAAGATCAGCAGAGTCTACCATTTCAAAGGGTCTTATGTGCGCACACTGCGCGTGTGTCCAAACTGGGCAAATCTAGCACCAAGCCAATCCACCAACGTCGCCTCCGGACTGTGGTAACCTAACAACTACACCTATCGTGAGGGCTACGGTTGGGGGTATTGAGAAAAACGTAATGCGCACGGGATGAAAGAAAACAGATACATCAATAGTTTGTTCGTTAACGGCGCAAGCACGGTCCGAAAACAAAAAAGCGCACAGTCAAAACCTTACCGCCGAAAAGCTGCAAGAGGCGGAAGAGGCGGTGTGTCGAGTCGACGGAAGACGTGAAAACAACCGAGAGGTCTGCCTGTCGCCCCACCATCTCTCGCAGCAGGGACAGCAGCACCAGCGGTTTCGCCTGCAAGACAGCACCGCCGAACACGCGGAAACATAGCAGCGTCGGCAACGGAAAGAGTATATCACGGTTCGCCGGGACATACTACTGGGTGCTGTCTTGAACACGCGAAACCTGTTGGACTCTCCTCAGCACCTCAATCGCAGCAGTCTGGTTGGTCCTCAGAGATGTAGGAACGAATCTGCGTGGACTCGCACCAACCCCGAAAATGAGCAACATTGATTCGACGCCGTTTGTGCGAAAGGAAGAAACCACACAAAACAGGTTGAAAACGCGCAAGAAGACGAGCCACGAACAGTTCTGACTGCACCGAGGAAAACGTTCCGGGTGGGCAAGCTTTATCTGGATACTTCCGAAACAGACATGCAGCGCGACCAAGGGGGCCCCGTGTCTGAAGCGCCTCTCGCGGCGGGGGGCGGTACGAGTGGCCCTGCCAGACAAAACAGAAAAAGGCTTGTCACATGGGGGGAAAACGACGACCTAACACATCGCCTACTCTCCAAGCGTGCATGTACGTCCTCAAGGGTGTAGGGCCACGTAGGATAAAAACCCAACGGGCTTCACTCAAGGTCCACCTTAACCTCACTCTACCATGCCATTTTCATCAATTGTACCAAGGTGTACAACATGGCATCCGTTTTCATCAAATGTACCATGGTGTACAACGAGGCATGCCACTCAGCACCGCCCTACATGTACCTGCGAGTCGCAAACCGTATAGGTTTCCTCCAGCGTGGCAGGCGTGCTGAAACGCCCCCCCCCTTCCACCGCCGTGCCAATCCCGTCCAAGTTAGACCGCCGGGTTTCCTGAGAAGGTCGTGGGTCACCGTCGGCCCCACTCGTTTCCCTCCGCTGGCCCCCGGCGGCCGTCGAGAACTCCGTTGCAGTGTAAATCAGCGGGTTCACCACGTCCAGACCCGCCAGTTTTTGCGGGTTGTTGGTGAGGGTCGCGGAGAACAGGAGTTTTCGAAGGGGGGGCGTTGAGACGGTGGCTCCGCGGATTCGCTCCCCCGTCGCCAAGGGCCTCCCTCTCACCGTAACCGGGTCAAGCGAGAACGCCGAGGGCGGGCGGCGGGAGGGGGGTCGAGGGCGCTTTCCGACTCCCGTCACCCCCAGTTGCTGCTGGGAGGAGACACTGTTCGAGCCGTTGTTATCGCACTCCTGGGCCTTTTCCACATCCTGCGGCTGCTGCTGCCCCCTGCTGTCGTCATCTTCAGCTCCCGCGCCCCCACTCACATCATTGCGTTTTCCGCCGCCGTTGAAAGTGAATCGCTCATAGACCGGAGCCGCGGTTCCGGGCTCTTTCCTGGGCACGCGGAACGCAAGCGAGAGTCGGCCGCAGGAGATGGTCGCGGTCATGGCATTCGGATTGTTTCGACCTCCATTAATTGCCTTTCTGGTATGCGTGCCGACCCGCAAGACAGAGGGCCTGACCTCCGCGGCCAGGCATTCACGCATTTCCCAACACGTAAGGCCAAGAGATAAGAAAAAATACAATAAAAAAACACACGGGACATGGTATTTATTAATTTTCCCATCTCCCCGACTTCTGTCGCGGGCGATTCCCTCTTGACGGGGGCACAAACGCTAGGGGTCTCGCACCGAGCAGCACACGCGCAAGAAATGCCAAACACTCCGAGACTCTAGAGAGACCCATATTTTGCCACTATCAACTATACACAGAAGACACTAAAGACCAGAAGAAAAAACAACAAATATCCCCACCGGTAGGCGGCCTTAATGACTTTGCCGACCCAGCCCTGGTAGCTTTGGTTGAGCAATCGGTCCGCCTCGTCGATAATGAGGTACCGGAGGTGCTGTAGGGTGAACCCCGGCGTCTGCGTCAGGTGGTCCAGCAGTCGTCCGGGGGTGGCCACAACGATGTCCACCTTGAACGCCACGAACACGTGCAACGCCGCCAGGAGGATAAGAGTAGATGACCGCAAATTTCAAGTCCTGCTTATTCCCCAATCAGAGCTTGGGGCACGACGTCCTACAGTTGTCTTCGACTGCATCCACGGTCAGACGAAGAGAATTGGCTGCATGCGGCTGGGGGGCCCAAGATAAGACCATCATAGACATGTTTCGGTTCGACGCGGCAAAGGGGCCCAATGGTGATCCGCGTTCGGATGACGACACCCTAAGGCGATTTGGAGGTAGGATTTTTGCGCAAATATGAACCGTGCAGAAAGTCACACACAGCGTGCGCACCGCCACTACGACGTCGATAATCAGCACGCACGCCATGTCAAGAAATAAAGCAATTGTTGCCGGATGGATGCATCCCATGTGAGCTGCATCTGCTGAAGTCATGCCCCTCGACGGCCTCAGCCACGCAGCGGAGAACCGTTCGAACATTAAAATTCCGAAGATGTTTGCTATTTCGATCACACCTATTGCCCTCACGCGTCGAGCACTCCAATCATGGCCATAAAATACTTCGCAGCGAGCACGTAAAGCCAGCGTCAATCCCGCTTCGAGAAATTGTGCCGATGGTAGCCAAGACCCTCAAAAACCGGTTCAGCGGGTAGCCAACCGTATCTCACCTCAGACGACCCCCCCGCGGGCGCGCCGGTGCCTGACCATCCCCCAGAATCCAGGTTCGACCCCCCCATCGTTGGATTTGGTCGGATTGCTCGGCCTTGCGCCCGTAGGAAGCTTGCTCGGGCTGTTGCCGTGGGGTTGCCTGGACGTGAAAGATGAAGAGCGAATGATAGGGACATGCGCGCTTTCTCACGTCAAGGGCTGAAGGCACGCACGGTGGGAGGAAAGGTTCCGGGGTGACCCCGGTTCGTGCGTGGAGCATAAGAGGCCGGCCGCACAGACAAGAGGAGGGCGCGGCGGCGAATGCATGGATGGCACCGCCGCCACGACCACCGTCATGATCGCCCCAAGCAACGGCAATATCAACGACAGCGACAACATCAAGGTCGTCGAAACGACAGACCTCACGACAAGAGCAAGACCAGCGTAAAGAAAGCAACAACGAGACACCAACGACACTAAACACCACGGCAACAATGATAACCGCATGAACCACAAATTACGAAGCCAGCGACGACGTCTACATCAGCAGCAGACGCAACAGCAGCCGTGCCCGTGCCGTGCAAACAGGCGTCACCTGCCAGAGCCACAGGTCCCACAAGGGCCAGTTGCTCCTCCAGAAAATTCGTCTGGCCGATGGCCAATCCCACCCGGAGACCCGTGCCTCGCGCGTACTTCTTGAACACGGAGTGGACCTGCATCGCAAGGTCTCGCGACGGCAGCAGCACCAAGGCGCGCAACCGTACTACCCGCCTTCGTATCAACGCCTGAGGGGCAGCGCAGCAAGAGGGGAGCTTGAAGCAAGGAGAGTATTGCTGCCGTTCGTTGTCGTCGTCAGTATCGTCGTCATCGTCGTCATGCAAACAGTTGGTTGTAGACTATGCAATCTTTGAGGTTGTAGGTCGTAGAGTCTTTGCCGCATCCGGCGTTGTTTTTGTGGCTTGTTCATGCCACACCATGCAAACGAATGCCGCGGTTGTCCGCAAACGTATACAGAAGTGACGGTAATTGGAATATGTACTTGGGAGGGCCCAAAGCACCACGTTCGGTCACTGTTCAGGGAGAGGTCGCTATTGGCCGGTATTGCCGCTAGTAGCGATGCCATGCGATTTTGGTGGTCACCATGCAGAGCATGCCATAAAACAGCGGATTCGGTAAACCGGACCGCGGTACTTCCGAGTGACATACCAAAAATAAAACATAGAATGACACGACGCCGGCGCTTGGTTCAGAACATTTAGCATGGAATCTGAACGGGCCGAGGGGACTTAATACAATGTTGGCACCGCGGAGGAACGCGTTCTATATCCGGAAACGCACAATGAAAAGAGTGGCTCGTCAGCAAAGCGCGCCGCAATACAGGTAGAGAGAAAATGATGCCCGAACAGCCACTAGAACCGCTGGCAGCACGTCAGGACATTGAGCACTGCTTCCGTGCTACTCTCTACTAACCAGCAAAGGTGGCGGGGATGCATCCAAACCGTTCTACTGCTGTGTTCACGCTCTTTAAGGGTGGCACGCAAGCCACGATACGGTGAACACGTCCAAGCGCCACAGAAAACGCGTCTGGCTAATGCATACGCACAGGTTGTTCCACAGCAGTAGCTCATACCACTTGTTGGCTGGCTTCCCTTGCATTGTTTGACCACCTGAGGTGAGGCGGTTAAAATTCGTTCAACAAACGGCGACTACCTTTCCCGGTCCCCGCGGGAATATCCAATCAAAGCTGAAAGTAGCAACGAGCAAAGCTCCATTCTGCAGCAAACAACTGAAACCGCCCAAGCCAGCAAGCCTGCGGCTGTACGACGTACCGAACGTGGCACAAAACGCTAAAAGGTGAACATGTAGTCTAATGGGGTAAGCCTTTCTAACAACACTTTACCTGCAAGACCCCTAGAACGAACACCAAAGTCTTCCCGCTACCAGTAGGGGCGGACACGCAGATGTCCCGACTCTGGACGTGCGAGTGTCGCTCCGTGGCCACGATGTCCGGCACGACGCGTACCTGTCGAGTCCAACAACCACGCGGCACGGACCAAAACATTGCACAAGCGACGGTGTGAAGTTTAGGTGGAGAAGTTCAAAGCGCTAAATAACAGGGGCGTCTTCGAAAACAAGACTTGCTGGCTGCGAATGGGAGGCCGGCGATAAACCGGGAATTACGACGAACGGCGGCATTGCCGAACAAACTCGTCCTTCAAACATAGGAGTCAGAAAAAAATTCGCACCGCAGCCCGACATCAAACGGCACTTGAATCGCTTTGGCGCCGGCGGGTTGTTGTCGATCACGACACAAAAAAACCAGATGCATGCCGCACAAAAAGGTGACGTCCGACACTACACGGAAGGAGAAATAGATGGCCTTTCTGGTCTGCCCCACCCTCCTCCTGGCGTGCTTGCTGTGCTTGCTGTGATTGCCTTCGATTCTCCGGCAGTCCTTTTCCCTCTACTCCCCCAGAGTAGCATCCCAGAGAAACGAAACCTGTTCACATCTCCAAAGAGATACTCGGACGTACAATCCGCTTGGCTACACTGCTTAACACCACCAATGCGACCGTTCTGGTGGATTTTCTTCATTCTCAAAACTTTCAGAGACGGTCTGCGTGGAGGTGGACTACATGACATGCTGCAAGAGGCCAGCAACGCTCTGCTTGACGACGCAGGGGCTCTGCTGTACTAAATCAGGTCTGATGCAACTCGTTGTTCGTGGTTGCTGCCGGGATCGCAACCTGTTGTCGTCCAAGTCAGACGGTTATCGCCACCCCCTGCAGCATCACCTGGATGGGGAAGAAGTGCTTGACGCCTTCGCGGCGCAGTATCTCCGTTAGCCTAGGGTCTAGCCCCCACTCCTCGGCCACCTCCTCCATTGGCCTGGGCCCTTGTTGTCCCCCGGCGTCAACGCTGCGTTCTCCGTCCACCCGCCCCCCTGCAATCGCGGCGGCCTCACCGGCTTCTTCCCCATCGGCGCCCGGTTCGCTGCTGTCTCCATCTTCCTCTCCGCTCTCACTCCCACTTTCGCTGCTGCTGCTGCTGCTCTCTTCCCCGCTAGAGCTGCTGTCATCGGTGCCCCCGCTAGCATCCTCTGCTGTTGCTCGATGATCCACGGTGCTGCCATTCGCCGAGCCCTCTCCGCCGCTAGTCCGCATAGATCTAATAGCGGCATCGTCCTCTACCTCAGATGCCTTGCTGGAACACCCCCCGGCCAGCGGGATCACGCCTGCAGCGGTCTGCTGGTGTACGACATCATTGCTGTCAGGCCCTAGACGTGCTCGCTTGGCGGAGGAGCGGGCCTTGGCTCTAGCGAGCATCCTGTTAAGGATGCCGGTAGAGTCGTCGCCATGATCATCATCTTGCTGCTCGTCGGTGAAACGCTGCACGTGGAACATTTCCAGCAGGGACTCGCTTCACGAAGGGCTGCAACGAACGGCCGAAGAGCGACGCGTGATGCTAAAGGGATCGTGTGTGTGGGTCGGATGGGCCTTGTTCGCCGAGGAGATGGCTGTGTGGGCGTGTGGGCTGGCTCGCTGGCTCGGCTGGCTGCTGGCTGCTCTGCGGGGCTTTTGGGGGGTTTCGACAAAGTTCTTGAGGCCAAGTCCCGCACCCCCAAGTACCGGGGATGGTCTTCATGTCTCGTTAGTCGACAAAAGGGGACAGCAGTCATGCACAGCGCAGCCACGTCTAGGTGATCTCCTGCTCTGCATCATCTGCAGCATTTCGCTTGCTTGTGAATCGACGTCGTGGTCGTCGAGATATACTGTACAGGTGTTTCGCGAGAGAAAGGCCTAGACTTTTTCCTTTTTAGCCTTTTTTTCTGAGGCACCGCGCCGCCAGTAAAAATCCGTGTGCTTCGCGGCGATGCACCTACAAGCTTGTTGTCGGCCGCATGCCCCTGCATGAAGCGCTGGTCAGCAGTCCAGTCGTTGCCACGATCACTGCTGTCTCTCACACATGAAGATGCTGTATGACCCGCGCCCGCAGACAGACGCAAGTTTCGGTGACATGTAGAACCACCTAGCGATACGCATCATCAGCGATACGCATGGATCTTGGGTGTTTGTGTGGGGATGGATGTGAACCCCAGCGTCGGCGAACACACCCCGGTAAAAGGTGATCTAGCATATCCCTCAATGTTTTGTCTTTTCGGAGCTGTATCGTTTGGCCTCGCGTGCCGAGCTTGGTGGATAACGGGTACGTCGGAAAACCAGGATCCTGGCGGACAACCGATCCTTCAACGCTAATAAATTCGTACGATGACCGAAGACGTTCCAACATCATCATGGACCACGAGAGGCTGTCCACCGAGGGCCGACCACCATGATCAAAGAGGGACCACAGAAGCCACGGATGTTTCACATGATGATAGATTCTAAAAGTATTGAGAATGGTTGAAGTTTTAACACACAAAATTGTTCGAGAGCACCTGCCGGACGTTCGAATGAATCCCGGCATGTCGCTTGTATTTATTATTTACGAGTCCGAACCCATTCCAGCTTCTTCGTGCGTGCTCTCGAAGTATGTGTGACTCGCGCATGCACAACCCACTGTCTGTAGGTTTGATCATCAACATCATCGACTTGAGGGCGGATGTTTCCAGCCAATGAGGACGGGGGGGGGTGAAGACCCGCACATAGTCTGCTGGCCTCCTCTTCCTCCTTGTGCCATTTTACCTCTCAACCCCCTGCATCATCACCCCTCCCTCTGTACCACGGCAGGCAACCATTTGCTTGTTGTCCGCCTTCGCCGCGAGAGTCCAGTGTTGGAATACTCAATGTCAGTCATTAGAGTTTGCACTGCTGTAAACAACAGTAAGTAGGTATTCATCTAAGGAGTATTACCGGAATAGTCTTCGGTATGTTGATTCAGTAATCGGATCATTGTAAACACCTACATTGAACCATAGAAGCATGGTACATCGGACCATTGTCCTATAGGATATTCTAGAAACGTTGCCATAGGTCGGAGTGACCATCTATTACCGTGATCGGTACGTTGCAATAGCCCGTGTGTGTTTCCTTTCCGTGATGACGGTGAATGGCTCGCCCCCGTGGTGCTCTCCCCCACTCGTTCAGTCTCTTCTTCTCCTTTCTCTCTTCTGACCTTTCGGCCAACTAAGCGCCAACACAACCATATCATCTGGTCTTAAACACAAGTGTCCTTGCAGTCACTCTGTGAGCCTCTCTCTGCACACCGTTACTACACAGTGGCCACTGCCAGGGATACACCTATCACAAAGGTTACATCCCAACATCCAGCACAGGCACGCGGTATCCCGAACGCCCTCCTCTTGTCGTCTCTGCAGCATTCGGCCTTGTTGTTGTTGTTGTTGTTGTTGTTGTTGTTGTTGTCTTCACATTAAATAACGTTCCGTTCTCTCTGCCCAATACCTTCTCTGTCCGCACTATGTAGTCTAACACTTGACGGGGTCGATTCCCGTGGCCACAGGCGAACCCAAAAAGGTATTAGGAAAGGAAAAACACACGTAGGACAAGTCGCGAGCTAGCCCACGTATGTCCTCCAGATCACCATCGGGCAAACATACCCCACAATGTCCTTCAACTCTTGTTAATAAGTAGTGTGGCTGCTAGCACATCTATCTTTTGATAGGATGTGGGTCGGTCCCAGGAGGTATACGGCAACCCCTATTTGCACGATGCGAGTGCAAATAAGACCGTGCACGACTCGACTTGTGATTAGTCAAAACAGCGCGCGCAGCGTGCGGACCACGTTCTGACGTGCGGACCGCGAACGTGGCGCAGCCGCGTTCGTGGCCAGTCTCGCCACCACGGCCCCGGTTGGACGTCCGTGAGGGTTGGGGTTAGGGTTAGGGTTAGGGTTGCGTTGGGTGGGTTGGGTTGGGTTGGGTTGGGTCGGTCACGTGTGTGTATAACCCAGTTTCAACCCATCCACGGAGGCGTTTCGAAGCGTGCACGTCTTATTTGCACGCGCGTCGTGCAAATAGGGGTAGCCGGAGGTATACCCTTCAGACCCCTACCCTCTTAGAACTGTCTATTCTGTCTACCCCCTGAGATGAAGTGGTATCCCCACTCAGCACTTCATCTCAGACCCTTGCATCGTCCCTCTGCAATAACAAGCAACTTTCCCATCTCAACGTCGTCGTGGAGAAGAGTGTCAACGACAGAACCTTCATCTATCTCTAAGAGCAAGCTACCGCCCACTGCTTCACCTCCTTTAACCTTGGCGACAGCTGGCATTACACGGTAAGCGGGTGCTGGACGCGGCCTCCGCGCTGCTGTGTGTTGCTGTCACGCTTTCTTCACCACCACTGGGTTGCCTGTTATTTGGTCTCACCACCCACGAGAATCTAGACTTAGCCTCTCCTCTGCTTCTTCTCCTGTAGATAGATATGCTGGCTGGCGATGCGTTTGCTAAGCGCCCGCGAGACTTGGACCTTGCGAAGGATACGCGCCTCGGCGGTCATCGCGATGTTTTGGGTGATTTTTCCTACGTTCGCCGTCCCTCCGAAGGTATTTTGTCTGCATCGGCGGTCCATGAAGTTATTTCTGTGGCGGATACGCTCTACATGCAGCGGCCTGAGTTGCAGGCCTTGTGTAGTGGGGCTCGAGATGACAGCATGCTTCCCACGTCTGCTACCACCTCCACTGCATTCATGCCGGCGTACCGGCCGATGTCCGCGGATTTTCCTGCTGTGTTTTCCGATGTGACCCCGCTTACTTCGACGTGGAGGGCGTTGTGTGCTCACAAATTGGGTGTCATCAGCCGTCCCACAAGCCTGATCGATAATTCGGGTGGCTCAGTTCTGTGTGTTGGGAGTGATGAGTGTAGAGCAGCTCGGCCATGACGGGCCGTGGATGGGTCGAAAACGTGTTGGGAAACGTGTTGTATTCATCGGGGGCGTGCTTGCGTTCGTAAAACTGTCACGGCATCAAGCAGGCGTTACGATCATCACGCTTAAAAGTACCAAACGGATCTCTCTGAATCTCCATCAAACTCTTCTCATTTCCAAGGAAAATACCCAAGAAGTTCTCGTCCCTCCGCATCTCATCACCGCTGCAATTAATTTCCGTAGGTAGGTACGTACCGAAGATAACCGCTGCGAGTACCCCCAATATATCGAATAGCCCCCCTGCTCGTATACATCGTCATGCTTCGGCAAATACCAATCCTCTTCTGTACCATCATTTCCAAAACAAAAAAAAATATCCTCCAAGACAATCACAACAATTCTTAAGCTTTAGCTTCAATCTCAATGTTCGATATCCGTGGGGGTGGGTGGGTGGGTGGGTGGAACTTTCAACTTCCATTCGCATACCGCACCCCTTGCCCGACCCTGTCTCAAATGCCGATCTCGAGCTACAGTGTCGTGGCGCTCGAAGTATGGTTCGGTAGGCAATCGCAAACCATTACCCCTCCCCGAGTTGCAGCAGCTTCCACCTGCTGTGGCCGACACGACTCGGCCTGGACTGTTCCTTGTCTGTGTTGCCATGGGAATGGCCGGTGAACAACGAAAGAGGGTCCTGCGTGCTGCGCGCCACCATATATATATATATATTTTTTTTTTTTCTTTTTGTGATTTTCTTCGTGAGTGAGTGACCATCATGCGGTTGTTGCTGAATTGCTTCAGTCTCTGTCGCTTTGGGCTGCACGCGTTGCTGGCGTAGGCGTTGCTCGCGTAGTAGGCGATGCGCGTCACTTACCGTATATGACACAAGATAACACACCTACATAAGAAAGCACACCCCCCACAGAATACGACACCCCGGTGATAGTTTTGGGCGCTTCTGACAAACCATCGATTTATCACCGGGGGGTACATAAGACACACCCCAGTGATATCATGTTATCATGTTATATACACAAGGGCTCCGGACTTCGGGCGCAGAGGCGCCCTCGTCCTCAGTAGTAGGCTTAAAGAGAAGGTGTGAAGGCTGTGCACAGCATACCAAGGGCATGAAGCCGCAGGGTGACCGAATGAATGGTGTGAAGATGTTCGCGTTGTATTCGAGAAATAAATGTGCCGTTCCCGGTGTAACATGAAGCCAAAAGAGTCCCGTGTACGTGATTGTTTGTCTAGCTTCGCCCGGTGCGGACGAAAAGGAGATGTAAGCTACGGTCGCCTCCCTATTCTTGCGTCGGTAAGAACGTAGTGACACTCTTAGGCAACGTTCTCTAAGTGGCTTTGCTGTGGCCAGTATGCATCCCAAAGGGGCCAAAGAAAGAACGAACACTGCAACTGTTCGATGGTATTGCCGGTAGTTGATGGTACTGGTGTGTTGCCGCCTAACTCTCATATTCAAACTTCTTCAGTGTCGCGCCTTTCTCTAATATCCCCCTCTAATGTTCTGGAGCTATTATTCTAACTTTTTCGGTGTCGTCCCGCTCGAATGGTCATATTCTAACTTCTTCA